CTGGCCTCTACTCCTCCACCCACCGCTATCCACCTTTTTCCCGGCCTCCGGGACTTCTTGGAGCCGAGTTATGAATTTTCGTCGCAAACTCCGCCCACTTTGGTCAAGCCCCGCCCACCGATGACAGCTGGCCTCTACTCCTCCACCCACCGCTATCCACCTTTTTCCCGGCCTCCGGGACTTCTTGGAGCCGAGTTATGAATTTTCGTCGCAAACTCCGCCCACTTTGGTCAAGCCCCGCCCACCGATGACAGCTGGCCTCCACTCCTCCACCCACCTCCATCCACCTTTTTCCCGGCCTCCGGGACTTCTTGGAGCCGAGTTATGAATTTTCGTCGCAAACTCCGCCCACTTTGGTCAAGCCCCGCCCACCGATGACAGCTGGCCTCCACTCCTCCACCCACCTCTATCCACCTTTTTCCGGCTCTTTAAGACTTCCCCGGCCCGAATTATGAGGACTTGTAGAAAATGCTGTACACTTCAGAGCGCGCCCCGCCCATTGTGGGCGGGCCTCCGCCCACGTCATGTATGCTGGAAACACCTTAGACATTGCTCCCTTACACCAATTGTTTTCTGCTCTGTAGGCTTTCTCCCAACCGAGTTATGAAATTTTTCATAAAGCACTGCTTTTTTGGAGAACGCCCCGCCCACCGGGGGTGGGTCTCCCTAAATGTGACTTACCAATGCACACCTTTACCCACTTTTTGGCCCAGTTTCGAGGTCGTTTTGTCACTGAAATTGAAATCTTGGTCTTCAGTACAGTTCATTTCGACGCACGCCACGCCCACTGTGGGCGGGGCTCCGCTTAGCTGATGTGTGTTTTGTACTTCGTGAGACCTTGCCCACCCATCCCACACTTGACCCGGTCCCTCCAGGCGGATCCCGAGGAGCTAGGGAATTTCGTGACAGACATACAGAACGACAGACGACAGACGACAGACGAAGCGCTTTATAGTAAGTAGGATGACTTCAGCGCCGAAATAGGTGTCATATCCACAATCAGGACTGGTCCAAACTGGCGCCAAATGGCGCCAACGCCGAAAACGAACATATGTATGTGTGATCACGGCTCTGATTTACCTTTTCAGGCAATGTTTTAGAGAAAATCAAGGCTTGGAACCTGAAAAAGGGATGAGCATGGGTGGGTACACCACCCGATGCACACCTGCGGCAACCTGAAGGCGAGCGCAACGCGGAAAGTATGCGCTATGCCCTTGTGATTTACGAAAACCAAAATTTGGTTCTTTCTCCTCTTCTCCTCTCAGATCGCGGTTGTTGAATTCGCTCCAGCTGTGGAGAGGGATTTCCAAGTAGAGGACCCATGCTCTCATTTTTTGAGGAGAGAAAAATTTGTTCTTTCTCAAGTCCTTTTGTTCATCACCACCTCAGGTGTCTGCTTTCTCCATTCTGTAGTGGAGTTGGACTACTTCTCTGAAATTAAGTAATCCATGTGTCTTAAGTCTTATCTCCGCTCAAATGAAAATTCTGAAATATGAAATCACAACTTAATGACCATATACAAATACACATTCTGACGTTAAGAATACAAAACTACAAAAGAAAACAAGTACAGAATGCGAAACTTAAACATTACTTTCTCGGGAGCTGCGCATACTGACCATTGAACTGCGGTACTGCTCGGGTAACTTATTCATGACACCTCGCTTTGATTTGTGACTATTTGTTATCTGAGTAGGAATTCAAGATCCATTCTGTGCACAATTCCGCCATCAAGGGTTAAGCGAAAATCGCTTTCAATCCACTGGTTGGGGCACCTCTGCTACCGACTTATCAAAAGCAGCGCTTCGGAACTCGGGTGAACTCTCAATTTCCTGGAAAGTCTATACTCCAAGAAATGAATAATTTCTTCCGATGGCTTCAATTTACGCCAATTGGCGCCGTTTGGTGCCGTTTTGGCGTTATAATTCTTTCAACACCTTTTGCTAAGAACTGAAGATAGGGCCACTGGTGTTTCTGATAATGAACATATTAGGTGTTTCAGAAAGTTCTGTCGTTTTCCAGCCCCTAATTTTAAATGC